GTGTGTGTGTGTGTGTGTGTGTGTGTGTGTGTGTGTGTGTGTGTGTGATGTGTATGTTAAAATGTCTGGGCCCTATGCACAGTTGCAAAATATGCCCAGACAAGAGGAAGACATCAGATGTGATATCAGATGTTATAGTCTCTCTCTCTCTCTATCCTGTTCACTCACAGACCCTGGAGCTAGGCTGCCAGCCAGTGAGTGCCAGTGTTCCTCCTGTCTCCTCAACCCCATAATTCTGGGCTTTATAGGCGCAAGTATGGCAATAACCTGCCTTCTACATGGATGGCTACAGTTTGAAATCATGCTTCTGTAGCCAGTGCTCCTATTTGCTGAGCCATCTCCCCAGTCCATGAATGACAGCCGTTTTCACGTTGTCACGTTTCTCTGTGTCTGTTCTCAGCCTTGGATACCCCCATCTGAACTGATCCCTTTCCTATTGCTAATTGTTGAGATTTTTACCTGGTCTCCTCTTGTTTCCCAGTTGAACACTCTGAAGGAAGTGTGTGTGTGTGTGTGTGTGTGTCCTTGAGATCTTGTCACCTTTCTCTTTCCTTTCTAGAATAAGAGTTGCTAGAGAGTGGGGACCTTGTCTTCAGCTTTTTTCTGACCCGTGGCACTGCCAGCACAATGCAGTACACAGCACATCTTACTTAAACTGAAGAGAATAAATCATTGGTGATTTTGTGTGTGTGTGTGTGTTTCGAGTGGATTCTGGCCTGATCGATTTCTTTTAGGAAATTTGAACTTAACCACCGAGTAGACGTGTTGGATCAATTGACAATGTTATTTTTTTTTCAAGTAACGAATTGCTTTCTCCGCTCTTTTTTAAGGGTGCTGTAACAGAAGCATCGAGTAATTTATTTAAAGTAATCATCGAGTAGTTTATTTAAAGTAATTTGTGTTTTATTTTCATTTCAGCTACTTATCAGCTACTTTCTGTCTGTCACATTCCGCTACTGATAGGATTTTCATCATGAATTGTTATTTTATTTCCGTTCATAGTAGAGGGATTCAGATTTGTATAGAATCTGAAGCCCGGGTCCAGAGGGGGAAAAAAGATTTTCCTGAAGATTTAGTTTGCAATATGGTAGAAGTTTCTATTAGACTTTGAGATGTTTAAGACACATTAGTTCTAAACAACAATTAGAAAGAACCACCTGTTGCCCCTGTGAATACTGAGTGACTCGGAGAGCTGAGATGCATGCTAACTCTTCATCAGCGTAAACCAGGCAGGATGCTGAGCAGTGCTCGGTGCTTCAGCAGTGTTTCTCCTCATTGTGGAAACGTTATGTGTAGGATTAAGTTTGTTTTTCTGCAAAATTGAAAGAAAATGGAGGGAAGAAGAAATTGCTATACAGCCAGGCAGACAGCTGTTCCTTTCATCTTCCTTCAGAAAGGCTCGCCTCTCTCTAATAACAGCAATAATTGCTACTCTGAGATCGAGGTTTAGCATGGCTTCTCTTCAGTACCACATCTGACTGAAGATAAACATGACGCTCTCGGTGCCTGAAGAACAATACAGGGTAACCGATGCGGAGAAACATCTCCAGTAAACAGGGCCGTGTCTGGGTGGGAGCCAGGTTCATCCAGACAGCAGGACATGCTCTCATCATACATTCATATATTTGGGAATGCTAAAATGATCATCCTCGTGTTCTATATAATTATGCATGAAGGAGTTTATTTGAGAACAAAACTATCAAAAGCTCTCTTGAATCTGCTCTCTTAAAGGAACTCGTGGAGTATTACAAGCACCATTCTCTCAAAGAAGGGTTCAGGACCTTAGACACCACGCTACAGTTTCCATACAAGGAACCAGAGCATTCAGCAGGACAGAGGGGTAATAGAGCAGGCAACAGCTGTGAGTATTGTAAATTTAATACATTTTTTTCTTTCAATTTTTGATCACTTAAGGAATGGAAGCAAAATAGCATTAAACATTTTCATTCTGAACTTTGAAATATAGCCAATTAATATGCTAATGCACTGTGCAGACACCTTTTTTTTTGGGAGCTAAGCAGAGTCATAAGGACCAAGAGGTTCATGAGTGTGTCGAGTTATCAGTTTTTGTGCCAAATTAAAAATTATATGTGTTAAAATAGCCATCAAAATGTAAGTGATATGTCGATGTGTAAAGTTTTATAATTTTCACTGGATTTTATATTAGCCATGCTCTCTTTAATTTATATGTAGCATCTGTGTTATAATGCTATTTGAAAAGTATTATCCAACAGGGCTCTTCCAGAGTGCCTCAAATTCCAAATCTACTGATGCTCCTGTTTCAAGCCAGCATTTGGAAGGATTATCATGTTTTGTCAATATTTTTTAAACTATACATCAGTCGCTTTCTTAAAGAACGTGTATTGTACTATCAATCGTCATAAAGGATGACTATACCCAAGCACACAGACATACAACTGTATGGCTGTTTCAGTGACTTTAAGTCATTAACTCACTCTGCCTCACCATTTCATGGTATGTAAACTTCCCAGACAGGGACACAACCTACAAAGAGAACACTGTAAGAGAAAAATGTAAAGAGAATACATTTTTACTCCCTTGTTAAGTAACCCTCATAAAAACAAACAAACAATAAAAACTACTTTGGGGCAAAATGAAAACAATTTGACTACTGTGAGAATCCTGAGTTTAGCACAACTGGAAGATCAAGGGTCGTTCTGAAAAGGATCTGCACCAGTGTAATACAGCTTGAAGTTTATTTTTTCCTAAAGGCTTACACTGAAGGAAGCCAGGTGATGCCCGGGCTTCCAGCCTCAGGACAGTTCCATGTACTTCAGGACGATATGTTAGCCTCAGGACCCTTCCATGTACTTCAGAACAATATGGAAGTCATTTGTCACTCAGCTGAGAGGTTGTTTTTGGATAAATTTTGTAAAATTTCATGGTTGTTCTCAAAGTGATCATTGGCTTATGTCTGAACCCATGCAGCGAGATGAATAAGAATGCACTTTGTCTTGGATGCTTAAACACCTATGCAGTTTTATCTAGTTTATCAGTTTTAACTATTTGTAGCTCACGATTGCCTGATTATCGGAGACTCTCACACAGACTATATGTTTTATTCATTCAAAATGGACATCTAGCATAAAAGGTGGTTTTGCTGCAAATTTCTTAAAAGTTGATCCAAGTATGACTTCTGACCTCTACATGTGGAATAATACTTAAATAGTTTACTTGATTCCCCCAGAGCCCTGTGGAGCAGTGAGGAACAAGGAAGAAATTTCCAGAATTAGGAAGGTCATCAATCCACTATATCCATGGCTTTTCTTGTTTCTATGACCAAATAATGGCAAGAAGCCACTTAAGGAACGCTTATTTGGGCTTGCAGTCTGAGGGGACATGGCCCGTCCCAGAGGCTAGGAAGGGTGGCAGGTGATCCACGGTGGCAAGAGAGGTGCTAGAGCCTCCACCTCCTAGTACCTTGACAGCAATTAGAGAATTGACACGAAGTAGAGCCAGACTATAAAACTTAGGGCCACCTCCAGTGAGTAACTTCCTCCTACGAGGCTTCCAAATGGTGCTGCAAACTCTGCTGGCACAGTGCACACTAGCTTTCAGAGGGTTGACTGTGCTTATTTTTGTAGTTCACAGAACAACCTGCACGATGTTTTGATGCTTCTTTGCCTTGCTAACTTTATACTAAGCCTTGGTTTAGGAGTAACCCTTAATGAAAACACCACATGAAATTTTTTTAAACATGAACTTCCTAGGATGTGGGGAAAGAGGAATGCTGCATAGTCAGGACACAACAGTTACTTGAGGGTGCCTTCAGTCTTCATCTCTGATTCGTAGCCTTGGTCGTGGTGCTGAATATCTAAACGTAACGTTCACCAAGCAGCATTGCCTTAAGATACCGATTTCGTATGAGGTCTTACGTCTACATGACTTTACAAAAGAATATGTAGGATACATGGCAAGTAGGGTAAAGGCCAGAAACTTCCTGTCCCTCCACAGAGGTGAGCAACAAGCTCCACTTCTCACTAGTGAAAGTGACTGACTAGCAATAGCAGCGGTTGCAACTTATATCATTGCCTTGGAAAAGAAAAGATTGGCTCATTTTTTGAAGTATGTAAAGTATGGTAAAACAAATATGGCAGAGTTAGTACATGCAGATAAAAATAATATGTAGAGAGGTGCTGATTGGGAATCAAACACGAGCTCATAGTATTGGGCGGGGACATTATATAACAAGTTAGAAAGCCGTCTTCTGCTGTCCCTCTACTGTCTACCAGGGTGTCAGGGCAGCACTATTTTTTATTGTTGTTGTCCTTTTCATAGCTTGAACGTGCCCAAAGGAAAAGAAAAAGAGAAAGGGGAGGGAGAGAAAAGAGGAGAGAGCACTCGGGGTACTGGTGAACTGGTTTCCCTCCGTAGAAACTGCAATGATATGGTAGAAGATAGTATGTAGATCTGTATACGAACCCCATAATGATCCAAAGTAGCCCCAAGCAAGCTGACTTTGGTTGCTTTGGATGTATCTGAACACCTGGTTGTTTGAAGGACACGGAAGCAACTTTTGCCTGTTGTACTCTACAATGAGTATTTAGTTATTTTCAGGTCTGTTCTCTCAGGAAAGTGATCCAGTGTGAACCTCTGCTTTCCCATCCAAAGAGTGAAGAATGAGATTGGAAACTACATTGTGTTCTTTGAGAAAGCACACCCTAATTTTATTTCTTTGTATGCATGAGAGGAAGTGGTAGAATGTAATTCTGATGGATCATTACGCTAGCGGAAGTGCAGGATTTCCTAGTTTTTAACACCAAACCAAAGCTGAGCATTTCCCCAATGTATATTTATGGGGAATTAAGTCAGTACCAGAATAGAGTTGCATTTTTTTTTCTTAAAAAAATTAGTGACCACAGCTGTATAAGGCGAAAGTATCTGTCATGATAACTTATCAGGTAAAAAAGGAAAAATACCACCAGTATCTTAGCCAAATGATTAAAATTAATATCACCAGAAATGTAATATTAACCTGCACCACTTTGATGGTGTCCCTACTTTGCAGTTGCATAATCTCAGTCTGACCATGTGGACGCGTCAGACAAACAGGGATGGAAGGGCATTAACAAAGAATCAGTCTGGATTTGTAAAATGTCAAAGCAATTAAGGGCAAAGTCTGACGAAGCATTTCAGATCAAAGGCAAACGAAGAGCTATGACACCTACACAGCAAGGGTAGAATTCTGACCAGGTGGGCAGCGTATATATAGCAGCATGCAAACATTTTGTATGTGCTCTTTATTGTTTATGTTACTCTAAAGGGTATGAGCAGGCCAATCAGTGAAATTTGCCTTCTATAGATTAACTAGGTAGGTTGTATCAGCACTATTTTCTCCTGATAATTGTTCTGTGGCTAGAACAGCGAATATCGTTGGAAGAAAAACATACTGAAGTATTTGACAGCAGGAATGGCTAATGTCTTCAGTGTGTATTCAGATGGCTGAAAGGCACACGTAGACTGCAAAGCAAACATGGTAAGATGTTAATATTTGGGTACTGTGAATGAATTATATGAGAATTGTGCCGTTCTTGCCTCTTTCCTAAGTGAATTATTTTAGAATTAAAAATGGTTGATGTTCAGATAACCCTATCTGCTGGCCACGTCCAAGGAATCATGGGAAGGTAGCAGGAGCTTATTTTTCCTGGCTCCAGGTGCAGAGGAACCTGGCCACTGATTTGGAGATGTACAGAGTCCCTTTACAATGAGTGGTTCACAAGTAAAGTCTTGCTGAGATCTCGTTACATGTTCCTATACTCAACAAATATTTAACACTCCTATGTGCCAGTCCTTGTGCACGATTACTTAGCTGGAGCTACAGTGGTAAATAAGACAGTCAGGGAAATGGGGGCACATACTGAACAAGACAAATAAGATAATCGTGGAATTCAATAAACCTCCTGACACCTAAGAGCATCAGCTAACGTGTCATTGGTAAGAAGGGCTTATGTAGCCTGTCGGTATGGAGCAAGACTTTTTGAAAAATGTCATTTAGGATAAACGTAAGGCGTTTATGAGGGTGGCATCATATGAGGTGGTGTGCTCCAGCAATTCCACAGCAAAGTAGCTTTGTGAAGGTGCTGTACTGCAAAGCACTTTATATGACATCCACACCACTTGTATTTAAGAGTATTAATCTCAATGTTATATATCATTGCTGTCTTAGCCCTGAAATAACCTGACCATTTTATTAGTTATATTGCAATACAGTAAGGGTTAGTATTCATTTAAGCTCCTTAAATATGCACTTAAGATAGTTGCGCTGTCTGCCCTTCTAATTCCACATGACCCTCTCCACCCACTCTCATTTTGTAATTACTTTATTTTATGCTCTTGCTTTTGTCATTTTTTTTCCACTGGTCATTTTGTCTTTGGTATCTGATTTTATTCTGATAACCTCAATATAAGCTTTAATCTCATCTCAGCTTCCTAGGACTGCAATATTGATTACCACACAATAACTTTAAGAAAAAACAAACAGAAATTACTGTGTGCTCTAGAGGCAAAGTGACTAAAGTCAAAGTATTACCCACGTATCTGTAGGCTCTGGATGGCTGGGTAATACTTGGTGTTCCCTGGCCTGTAGATACGCCACTCAAGTCTGCTGTGTCTTCACCTCTCCCTGCGGTGTGCCCTCATCTTTCCACCTAGAAAAGCCATTGCCATTGAATTTAAGGCCCTCCCTAGATGTTTTCAGCTTAAGACCCCTAACATTTACAAAGATCTCTCATTTTTTTTAAGAGTAAAATTAGATTCCACAGCATCAGACTGGAAATATCTTTATATGGGGCATAGGGGGACTATTAGACCCACGGTCATCTCATAGTGTTTATTCTAGCT